CAACAACTAAATGAAAATTCTTTTGAATTATAATGGTCATTCAAATTTCAATTTTTTTTGGCACACTCTATTGAAAAAAAAAATTAAAAGAAAATTGTGGTGGTGAGTTTTAGGGTTTAGGGAATCTGAACAATTTTGATGTGTGATTGTGTTTTGAGGAAAAGAGATGAGGCCCAAATCGAAAAATGATCCAAGTCAATAATTAACCAGAAACACACATACTATTCATGGGTCCATGGTTTTGAAGGAAGGTGCAAAGGATTCCATACTCAAAGTCATCATTGTAACTGGACCTACTTCATTCAAGTGCTTTCGTACACATTTCCATTCCAATCAGGCCTACATTTGTAAGACAATTCCATGGGTTTTCATGACCCAAAAATCAATGTGGTCCAAACTTTGCTCATTACAAAGTAAAAGGGGACTGGGTAATATATTTTTTTCTTTTTCTTCAGAATACCATTTTCCTGCACAATCACAGTGATAGATGAAAATATACCATATAGCATTTGAAAGTTTTTCTTCAAAAAAAAATGTTTTTTATTTACAAGACCCTTATTGAAAATACCCAATAACACTTGTGACAACATAAGATGATGCTAAAGGAAGAACGTTAGAACAAAGCATAACAAATACACACACGAAGGTAAGATGTTCTGTTTTACGTTTAGTTGTGTTCTGCCTCTTTTCTTTCTTTTGCTTAGTGTAAGAGGGTAGAAAGTTTGATTGAACTTGGTGGCTTGGACCATGAAACAAAAAACTAGCCCTCATTAGATTTTGGGCTTCATGAGTCCAGTAGAAATTTCTAACACCAAAAACAAATTGTTAAGCTTCGTACTCAATGGTGAACTGGTTCTGAAGTGAAGACAATGTCAAACTGGTTCATACTAAATACAGTACTATAATGTTTTGAATTAACTAAAGAACATCATATTTATCTGCAACAACAACAACAACAACGTGAGCCAGGGGTTCCATTTGTCTTGCTGTATGTTCATAAAGTTATCTACTGTGTCACTGTCTTATCATAGCCACGCTGCAAAAAGTGATAAGAAGTTGTACAACCTTATTCACCACGGCACTTTTATGCATGAAAAAATAACAAATTTGGTATAAAATACACCATAAGCAATTGTTTTTACAATAATAACTCTTAAAGTGAGAGTGTAGAAGTTAGGCACAATGCAAATTAACTTTTCAGAATAAAAAATAAATATTACGAGCTGTGTATAAATAAGATCACATTCAATCAAGATTTAGAGCTAAAGAAAAGAACGTGTTATTTGTTTTTGTATCATTCTTTCTATAATCACCTACTTGATAAGTTTATTATATTAGACGCAAAGTCTTATTTATACAAATATAAATCTTATTAAAAACAAATATTAAGACATTAAAAATATTTCATTTTAAGGTTTTGAATAACAGGGTGAGGATAAGTAAAATCTTATTATTAAAAATAAAAGTAAAATATGTTTTTTATAATATTTATAATAAATATTAATATTTAATATAAATAAGTGAGATGTATATTCATTCATATGTTAGCTTTAAATTTTATTTAATAATATATATATATATATAAAGAAAATAAAAATATAATAAATATCAAATATTAATATTTTAGTTATAATTACTTAAATTAAAATAATAATATAATATATTTTTCTTTTATTTTAAACAATATAAAACTATTTTAATATATAATTTAAATAAAAAATAATAAAACATATATTTTCAACCTATAATAATATATTAATATAAATTTAACTATTTTTTTAATGTTGATTATAAACTTAATATAGTAATTAATATCGTATGAAGATGACATAAAATATTTTAATTATATTAAATACATATATTTATCATAATATTAATATAAAAATAATATTTTATTCTAAAAATAAATACTACGACATTTAAATATAGCATAAAGATTATTTTATTTAAAGATTGTAAAAAAAATTAAAACAATATATTATTAATAAATAATAAAAAAATAGGAAAATATAAAAAAAAATTAAAAACCTTAAATTATAAATATATAAAAATATATATTTAATGATATTAAATTTAAAGAGTGAAAATGATAGATATACATTTAACTTAAAAATTTTACGAATCATGAGTCTTTCACCTCTCAATAAGTTATGCTACTACTAAAATATATATACATCTTTCTTTGAAGGTTGTAATGGTAGACATGTTAAAGTTTTTGTAGCATTATCCATGGAGCAAGGGTAATTACAAGGTACAAGGTTGAGTTTCAACCTTTAGTAAATTTGTGTTATCATTGAAGATGTTGGAGAATCTGAATGATAAAAATGTTTTTGTTCAACATATATATATAAGGACAAATAGGAAAGTCACAATACGATAAACAGTGGAAAAAAACACATTGAACTGAAGTTTGAGAGAGTACTAGAAGGAGATGGAAGTTCAGTGACCTGTGGAGGTGTATTCAGAATTAAAGTGTGTTTTAAGTTTTATATTGAATAAAAATAAATACTTTTGAGAAAAATAATAAAATATTATCTGAGTATAATTTTTTAAAATAAATATTATTTTCTATAAAAGTATAATTAGTGCAGGGTGATTTATTAAAAGTATTAATAGAGTTTAAAATACTTCAGAAAATATTTTTAAATTTGGACTAATATTCTTCTCTAAAAAGTTTTACTAAAATCCAACTATTTAGCGCTTTTAAGATGATAAAATAATTCCTGAAAAAATAATAAGAAAAAAATAAAGTACAATATTTAATAAATAATTAGCAAATTATCCGGTGTAATCAGTTCGCATTATTATAATATTAAAAAGATGAAATAATAATCAGCTATTCATTTTTAATAATACTTAATTCAAACGTTAATTTCTAGGTAGGGTGTGAATTTGTTTGTTTTTTATTTCACATATTTAAATTTCAGAAAATTATTAAGAATATTTTTTTAAAAGCAAAACATTTAATGAGAAAAAAGTTATTACATTTAAAATATTGAATCATTGAAAAACTTTAGCAAGTTTAAATATTTAATACAATTTCTTAATAAACATTCTGAAATGCTTATGAAGAGAAATAATTCATGTTAAAACAAAAAGTTAAGCATTGACTTTTTCATGTGAGTTGGATTTTCTTTTTGAGTAATGTTTGGTGTGTTTGTTTCTGTGAAAAAGAAGAAAGAAAAAGTAAAAAGGAAAAATTATGATGTCGGAAAAAGAACCAAACTGAGGTGTTACAGAAAACATCACAAAAATAAAATCTTTGCATATTAGGCGAGATTTCCGGTAACAAGAGATACTTATTTTTTTCTATTTAAAAAAAGAGATTTTTTAATCTCAATTTAAATAAAAAATATTTTATTATACCTACTTTTTTTCACTGCTTTTCTTTAGCATCTAAACAAAACGCTAGGTCAATTATTGTATAATTACACTTTTGATGTAAATAAAATAGAAAGTTAAGGTTAATATTTAAATGATTTTATTAGTTCAAATCCAATAATTAAAGTTAATAAGATTTAATTTTAAAAGTTAATTTATTATATAATAAATTAAAGTTAATTTATTATATTAATTGGTTAAAGATCATTATAAATATAATTTTAAGATAACTATCATAAAAATTAACCTTTAACTCATGTTTTTTATTTTTCTACTTTATATATTTAGTGAATTTAGAATAATTAAATGTGAAAAATGCAATGAGGTTAAGAAACCCAACCCAATGCTGTATTTTTTCTGTGCTAGCCCAGCCTGTTGCCAGTGGGTCAAACATCAATGGAATGTTTTGGGATAAAAATCTCATAAAATAAAAATTCATTTGAAATTATGATAATTAAATAAAAGCAAATTTTCATTTTCATTTCAATTTCCACAAAATAAAAACATTACCAAAAATACTAAATGTTTATCCCCACTAGTTTATTTCTTTTGAGAATTCCAATTTTGTGTTTTATTAAACGGATATAAGATAAACTAATGTTACAAAAAAAAAACATATACTCTATATATTCTAATTGCCTTAGAATTCATTCATAATTAGGTTTTTAATTCCAATTGATAAAAACTAATGCACAACTTGCATATTACAATTATATTTTTCAATAATTGTTTGGTATTATAATAAAATGGAAATTTGACTTATCATGGTCATGTGAATAACATAAAGTGTACCAAAATAGAAAAACAAAGAAACACATTTAAAATGGGGCAATTTGCAGAAGAAGTGGAAAGTGGTGTGCAGCCAAGTCAATAATTATTTATGCTGTGCTGACTGAGTATTGGTCTAAGCAATTTGCACATTTTGCATTTGAATACAATATTTAAAATATTACTTTAATATTAGAATCTCATAAAAAGTTTTTATTTTTATTTATTTTTGTTTAATTTAATGCTAAGATTGGATTTTAAGATGGCGTGCAGACATTTTTGTTCCTTTGCTCTCTTCATTTTCCATCCGTAGACGCCAAGAACCCTAACAGGTACTGCTCCCTTCTCCCTCTGCTCAAACATTCTCTTACCCTCTTATTTTTTCTTCAAATCATCACATGGGTTCACAGCAAAATCACTTTTTACTCCCATTTTCCCACTTCCATTTAAATCTTAGGTTTTGTTGATCTGTTTAGTTTTTATCACAAAGATCTGACTTTGTTGCTCTTTTTTTATACTAAAATGGATCTTGGATTAAAACCCAGAAGCTGGAATCTTTGGAGTATGAGATTTTGCATGTGTGCATAATGGGATTTGTGTAATTTATCCCCTATTCTGGTTTGACTTTATTTGAGCTGAAACGACGGTGAGTTTTTGAGTCAGACAGTTGCATTCTGCTGTTGTTGTGTAGTTTTTTTTTTTTTTTTCTCTGTTTCCCCTATTAAATGTGTTCTGAATTGTGTGATTTGTTAGGAGAGTGCAATGGACTTGGATAACTTGTGAGGATATTTAACGTAGTACATACTCACTACATTGTGTTCCTGCAATTAGTTTCATCATTTGGTGTTGTGATGGATGGTGATAATGGTCTTAACATCCGTAATTGGGGTTACTATGAACCCGCCACGTCGTTTAAGAGCCACCTGGGGCTGCAGCTGATGTCATCCATGCCAGAAAAGCCTTTAATAGGAGGGCGTAATGCTTCGGTTTTATCTGGAAGTAATGGGGCATTTCACCATAGGGACATTGGTATGCCCCAAGCTTCATACCCTATGGAGTACATGAGGGATGCTTGGATTAGTAGTCAGAGAGATAAGTATATGAATATGATACCTACAAATCATAACTATGGTGGTCTTCCAGAGACTTCTTCAGCACATCAAATTCAAATGATTCCACCACCGGAATTGCCAAAGGAAGAAAGGCCAGTGGAAGAGGAACCTGTTGTTGAGAAGGCAACTGGTGGCGCTCGTAAGAAAAGACAGGGTCCCAAAGTACCCAAATCTCCCAAGGCTAAGAAGTCCAAGAGGGGGCCTCGTGTGCCAAAGAATGAGAATGCTCCCACAGTTCAACGCACCAGGGTTCCAAAGAAAACTACTGAAATTGTAATAAATGGAATTGACATGGACATTTCTAGTATTCCAATTCCTGTTTGTTCATGCACTGGAGCATCTCAACAGTGTTACAGATGGGGCTCTGGTGGTTGGCAGTCTGCATGTTGCACAACAGGAATGTCAGTGTATCCTTTGCCTATGAGTACCAAGCGGCGTGGTGCTAGGATAGCTGGAAGGAAAATGAGTATAGGAGCATTTAAAAAAGTTTTAGAGAAACTTGCAGCCGAGGGTTATAACTTTTCTAATCCAATTGATTTGAGGACTTATTGGGCAAAACATGGCACCAACAAGTTTGTCACTATTAGGTAGGTCTACTCTATCGTCAACTAGCTTCACATTCCATTCAGCCTGTTTGTGATGTATATATATGTGTATTTGGCCAGAGACTGGGGCTTCTTAGGTGGTTTGTAGTACAAGAATTTTCAAGGTCACAAGACATTTCCTGTTCTTTTCTAACACTTTCTATGTTGTTATCATCACTTCTTTGGATTCAGTGCATGGGCATTCAATCTTTTGGCTGGTGGGTTGGTCCTGATAGGGAACTAGCTGATAGCATCTTGTTTTATTGATATTTTTAGAAGTAAAATTTAATCCGTTCATGAAATTACTGTTGTTTGAATGTTATTCCCAACTCTTTTTTACTTCCAACTAATTATGTGAATTCAGTTGTTTAGTGTTGTATAAATCCATACCTAGTTAGAATGTGCCTATTTTAATGGCCTGTGAAAGCTAGGCTGTACTTGAAAACACTGCACAGTGTAATATATTGCAAAGTGTTTTGAGGTCTGGTTCCATGACTGATTCAGCTGGTTTTTGAAGAAATTTACAGGTTTGAAGTGTTAAAAGCAATATTTAGTGTTTTTTCAAAATATATTTCCTTTTACTGTTTTTCATTCTAAAATGAATGACAATGCTCTACTTCCAAGCATTTCTAGTTCAACAATTTGATTGCTAAATCATTTATACTATTTTGTGGTAGATGCAGTTCAGTTCTTAGAGAATCAGGTTTATCAAGCAGGTTTATGCATATCTAATTATAGAATAAAAAATAAAATTTAAGAAATTCATGGCTTGTATTAGTTAGTCAAAATAATTTTTATGCATTGCTTCATGCTCTTTGCAAAGTTGTTGAGTTCCAACTAAAAGTATGAATAAAGTTGTGACCTGTTACATGAAGAAGTAAAGAGTAATTATTATGTAGCTCTGGGTTGTTACTAAACCAGAAAAATAAGAAATTGCAGGTTGACATTGTTTCTCAAATAGGAAGGTGAGAAATAGTGCAGGGTAATAAACAGGCTGAATGATAGAGTAGACAAGTGAAGAATTTTACATGTTGCTGTGGATAGATATTTATGGTATTATATTAGCATCTTCTACTTAACTAGCTGGTGATTGTTATGTATGCCAATGTTATGTGTTTTCTTTGCTTCTTTATCGTGGTATACAAGTTGGGATAATGTGCACCTTTGACGAGTGACATGAACGTCTTGAATTCTTGTTTGGAATTGTATTTACTGATTATTATTATTATTATGACAAAGTTGACCACTGATTATGAGGTATATTTCTCTAGTTTTGAATTGTTTACTAGAAATTGACTACTTAAGGGCTAGTTTTATTTAGGGTAAATAGTCACTTTAGCATTTGAAACTATAATTTACTGACACTTTAGTTTTGTCATTAAAAATCCCCTATGTAACACACTTTTTGTCATTTTGCTATTTGGCTTAACTATCATCTTAGTTCTTGGAAGTAACCATTTACTATCATTTAAGTATGGGAAATTGCTTTTAAAACATCAAGTAAGTTCTACTAATATAGTAAACAGTGGTTAAATTCAAGACTAAAATGACATTGACAATATATGGTAAAATTCAATAACTAAAATGACAGTTAGTGATAAAGCTTATGGATTAATAAGATAGTAAGTGATAATGTTAAGGAACCAACATGTGATCAAGTGCAAAAGCTTAGTGATAAAAATGATAGTAAATGTAGCACATGGAGAAAAATTCAAGCACCCTTCACCATCTCTTTCTTCCCATACCAAAAACCAAAACACATCATGGAAACAGAATAATCTAATGACCAAGATGCATGATAAGATTTTGTTTGGAGGTATAAAAGATTTTGTGTGGAACACATGGGACCAAGTCAATTTAATGACACATAATAGTGGTACCACCATCAACCACTTTATAAGATGGTGCACCCTAAACATAGCCTTTTTTTTAACTAAGTTATTTTCAAAAATAGCAGTGAATTACCGACTGAAATAACAGATTGAAGCCAGAAAGGACTGTGCTTTTTCCTCTATAAATTCGTGGAAAGGGTTTCTATTTTGTAGAATATAAAAAAGAATGGAAAGTTATTGTTTGTATTGTGCAGAAGCAATCTTTTTTGGCAGCATAAAATAAGTTAGGGGAAAAGAGAAAAGAAAGAAAATAAAGGAAATTTGAGATGGTTTATATAATGATATAATGTCTCGATTAGACCGATATGTAATATAAAATAATCATATTTTCTTCCTCTATAGTCACGTTATGTTGATTTCGTCAAAGAATTTAGCACCATGTTTTTTTTTTCATTTGCAAGACTAATAAAAGCCCAATCTTCGTTACTTTTGGGCCTCTAACTTTTATAGAAGTTCCAACACAAAATTTTGTCTAAAACCAAGAGGTTGAAAATAATTTTAAATTTTGAAAAAAGCGAGTTATATAAGTTTCCAAACAAGTTTAGGTTTAACTTTATGAATTAATTTTAAAACATAATAGTACTAGTATTTAAGACAACAACAATGTGAGACATAGTTTTCATTTATGTCTTTGAATTTTGTAAAGTTATCTGTTATGTCACTGTCTTATTTAAGTCATATCACTAATAATATTAAATACTACTTTTCGTTCAACAAAATATCAACAAACATACTCTATGTATTATATCCTATAAAATAGACCAAATTAATATCATTAACTCAATCAGCATAAATGCATTTCTTCATATAAAAGTATATTTGATATAAATATTTCCTATTGTCTCCAAAAAGCGAAATAATAATTTGTGTAGTGTTATAAACATATAATATCAAAACAAATTATTTTTTTTAATATTTAATAAGATGTATTATTACTAATTGCATACTATACATTAACTTAATTTATGTGTTTAATTATTCAATAATGAGAGAAATAAAATTTGACCAGTCAACTCCTTTTTGCACGTTGAACATTCATTGTCAAATTTAATGAGTAATAAATTCTTTTATATTTACTGTACATAGTGTACTACCAAAAATATATATAAACATGTCCAGAAATAAAAAATATTTCTTTATTAAATTAAAAGTATATATTTTATTAAAATATCAATATTATTCACGACTTATTTTTTAAGTAGTTTAGAAGCATTCCTCACAAGCAAAATCAATTCCATGATTTCACATTGTCCTCAGTAAAAATGTTTATAAATAAAACAATTTCAATAGATATAATTTATAAAGTCATAATTATTATAAAAATTAATAAATTTATCATACACGTTAAAAAAATATTAACATAACGTATTCTTTTTAAATACATTACTTGACATTGCTTGAGATTATTAAAAATACAAATTTTTTTCTTTTCTTATGAGTATTGTATTGATTAATCAAACCAAGCAACACAAGTTCATTGTTTTGATGTTAAAACCAGTTCAGCATTATTGTTTGATTCTATGAAACTGAAAAAATCAACCACTTGGAGCTTATATAAAAAATAGTATTTTGTATTAGAATCTTATAAATGATTTTTTTTTTTTTAAGATTAATATTAGATATTAAGATGGCGTGCAGACCAGTGTCTTCTCCTTTGCTCTCTATTTTCCATTCGTAGACGCCAAGAACCCTAACAGGTACTGCTCTCTTCTACCTCTACTCAAATATTTCCTTATCCTCTTATTTTTCTTTCAAATCTAATAATGGGTTAACATCAAAATATATATTTTTGTTCTCATTTCCTCATTTTCATTTTGATCTTAGATTTTTGTTGATCTGTTTAGTTTCCACTCAAAGATCTGATTTTTTCCCCCACTTTTTTCATGGTAAAATGGGTCTTAGATCAAAACCCAGAAGCTGAAATATTTAGGGCACGAGGTTTTGCATTTCTACATTGGTACCCCTTTTCTGGTTTGACTTTATTTGAACTCAAATAAAGGTCAGTTTTTAGGTCAGTCAAATTGCATTCTGTTTGTTGCAGTTTCTTTTTCTTTTGTTCTATTTTTGGTACTAAACTTTGTGTGTTTTGAATTGTGTTGGTTTGTTAGGAGACTGCAATGGACTTGGATAACTTGTGAGGATATTTAACATAGTGTACATTCACTACATTGTGTAACTGCAATTAGTTTCAACATTTGGTGTTGTGATGGATGGTGATAATGGTCTTAACATCCGTAATTGGGGTTATTATGAGCCGGCCACATCGTTTAAGAGCCACCTTGGGCTGCAGCTGATGTCATCCATGCCGGAAAAGCCTATAATAGGAGGGCGCAATGCTGCGGTCTTATCTGCCACTAATGGGGCATTTCACCATAGGGACATTGGTATGCCCCAAGCTCCATACCCTATGGAGTACATGAGGGATGCTTGGATTAGTAGTCAGAGAGACAAGTATATGAATATGATACCTACTAATCATAACTACGGTGGTATTCCAGAGACATCTTCAGCACATCAAATTCAAATGATTCAAGCGCCGACATTGCCGAAGGAAGAAAAGCCAGTGGAAGAAGCTCCTGTTGTTGAGAAGGCAAATGGAACTCGTAAGAAGAGACAGGGACCAAAGGTTCCCAAATCTCCCAAGGCTAAGAAGCCAAAGAGGGGCCCTCGTGTGCCAAAGGATGAGAATGCTCCCTCAGTTCAACGTTCAAGGGTTTCAAAGAAAACTACTGAAATCGTAATAAATGGGATTGATATGGATATTTCTAGTATTCCGATTCCTGTTTGTTCATGCACTGGAGCACCTCAACAATGTTACAGATGGGGCTCTGGTGGTTGGCAGTCTGCATGTTGCACAACAGGAATGTCAGTGTATCCCTTGCCTATGAGTACGAAGCGGCGTGGTGCTAGGATAGCAGGAAGGAAAATGAGTATAGGAGCATTTAAGAAAGTTTTAGAGAAACTTGCAGCCGAGGGTTATAACTTTTCTAATCCGATTGATTTGAGGACTTATTGGGCAAAACATGGCACCAACAAGTTTGTCACTATCAGGTAGGTCTACCCTATGGTCATCTGGCCTGTGATGTCTTTTAGCCTGTTTGTGATGTATATAGAT